GCCTCAGCCTTCCAAGTAGCCAGAATTACAGGCATGTGCTACCACGCCCGGCTGATTTTTTTAATTTATTGTAGAGATGAAGTCTCGCTGCCCAGGTGGGTCCTGAACTCGCGGGCTCAGGCAATCCACTCACCTCAGCCTCCCAAAGGCGTGGAATTATAGGCTGAGCCACCGAGCCCGGCTGGGTTTATTTTAAAGTTGCATCCATTCCAGGACTGCACTAGGTCTTCAGTGGGCCCTAATCAATTTTGTCTTCATGAGTCTCTCATCGCTAAAAAAATCTTTTTAAAACTTTATTTATTGTAGAGACAAAGTCTCGCCAAGTTGCCCTGGCTGGTCACAAACCCACAGGCTCAGGCAATCCACTCACCTCGGCCTCCCAAAGTGCTGGGATTACAGGCTGAGCCACCAAACTCGACCAAAAAAATATTTCTAACTACATTTTACTATTGCTTTAGTATAAATAAGAATATAATCCCAGCTAGATTAATTATTATATATTTATTATTTGTTAAATTTTTTTCTTCTAATTTTGAAACAAACAACAATCCAAGCATTTTCACTGGCCTCTGAAAGACTAGTGGACTCAAGGCCTTGTGCTGGTTGACCCCAATTCATTCTCTTTATGGAGAATTGTTGATTTTCCATGTATAGAGGGAATGTCAAGTTTCCTTTTTATGTCAGTGTATTCAGGTCAATAAAAATGAGTCCAGTAAGTCATCTGAAAGTGAACGATAGTATGGCGGGTGTGAGAATATGGCAAAAATGAGAGGAGACTGAGGTCCAGGATATGACACTGGCAGGATAGAAATTCCTAAGCTTTCCAGACCCTTCAGGACATTTTGGAATGAGTCCTGTCAGCTGTCCCAGCACATTCCTGGGAATGGGGCCATCCCTCCCCACTGGCCTGGGAAAGGCGGGACATTCCAGGGTTACCCCACAGCCTGCCTGTGCCAAGCCCTAGGGCCCGGGAGTCGGCTTCCCAGAGGACTCTAGAGGAAAACTCCTTCAGCACTGGGTTTTATTTCCATCACAACACTCCTTTAAAAGCTTTCAGAGGTGGACACAGTGGCTCATTCCTGTCATCTCAGCACTCTGTGAGGCTGAAGTGGGAGGTTTGCTAGAGTCCAGGAGTTCTAGACCAGCCTGGGCAACATAGCGAGACCTATTTTTTAAAAAATTAGAAAAGAAGATTAAAAAAAAAAAAACGCTCAGAAAGGCCAACAAAGGACAGGGTCCCTCTAAATCCAGGCTGCCTCACCTTGTTATAAAAAAAAAAAAATTAAAAAGATTGAGGGAGCTTTGAAGAAGCATCAATTAGCGTTCTGACTAGGGGACTCTTACAAAGGCCTGAAGACTGACTCCTGTCACCCAGGTAACCACATCCTGATCAGAGGACACATCTTGAAGTAGAAAGCAGGGCCCCGATCGCCCCATCCTCCCCCTCCCCCCCACTCGGGGTTTTGTTCTTACCTACTTTTCTATTTTAACTTCACAGAGAAGAGGCTGCAGAGAGAGTCCAGAGGCCTAGCAGGACAGCTGGAATCCACTGCCGGGTCAGCTTTCCGGGTCAGCTTTCAGGGTCAGCTCTCTGGATGGCGAGGGAGATGAAAGTGCAGGCTTTGAGAACACGAACTGAGCAAGGGCTCTGCGAGCTAAGATTCTGGGCTGTTCTGTAGCCTGAAGCAGAGCCCACAAAGACCCTAGGAAGCTTCTGACTAAGAGACTCAGCCAGGGTTGAATCCTAAATTAACACTCAACTGAGCCAGTAAACCCGGGGGCTAAGTTAAGCAATGACAAATACAATTGGACAGGATAGAAAGCATAGAAGTCCCTGCATGTCATGTTGTGTTTTTAATTTTTGCCAAGAGATCATTTTCCTGTAGCATACAGGTAAATGTAGGCAACTAATGTTAATGTTTAAATTTTTTTCTTTTTTCTTTTTTTTTTTTTTTT